TACACAATCAGCCTTGCTTATGCCATGTGGACCGATTATACTTATTCGACTGGCTGTCGACTTCCTATATCCCCACCCCGTATAAGGAGGAAAGGACACGTGTGCGTGCGTGGGACGTACGAGAAGTCGTCGCAAAGATCGGAGGGAGTTATTACTTTCCTTCCGAAGCAAGGTGCTTGGGATTCATAGACACTAGTTTTGTCATTGTTGATACTCATTTTCCCCCGTACTTCTTATTGTCGTTTAACGAATCCATTGTTATCGCGTGGACGGCGGTGGCACCTCACTGGCCCAACACTTTGTGTAGCGATTGCTGCCGCACCTCACGTTATCGGGAAAAGGGGTTCCACTATCGGGAACGTGGCCAGGTCGATCACAAGGAAAAAACGACTAGCCTGAAACTGCCCAGGTCGGATTCCAAGCTCTATAACGAGGGGCGTCAGGATTTAGTTCAAAAACGAGATCCCACGTGCGTGCCCCCGCCTTTCCGTTCGAAAAGACGTTGAGTAGCCCGCATGGAAGTCCAAAGATACTTTTTGGATTAAACGAACGTTGGAAGCAGTGTTGTCAGAGCAGAAACCCTTACAAGGGTATCTACTCAGGATTTTTAATGTCGGACGCTGTCCTATACATCTGTGGGTATATATATTGTCACACTGTGAATCGGAGCGCGAAGGCGAAAAAAAGCAAAACAAGGAAACGAAAAGAAGGAAGGAAAGCCCCACCTGTTCATCACCTCTTACGTACAAGGCCAGCCACGTGGATGACAGGTTGAGCGCTGGCTGCCCCCATCCCCGTGTGTCACAAGGACCCACTTGCACGCAGCCAAAAGGCAAAGAGGTAAAGAAAAGGAGGAGGAAGCCAGACCTTACAGAGGCAAGAGAAAGAGAAAGGTCAAAGAAAAGACAAAGGAAGAAAGCAAATGACACATCCCACAGATAAACCAATTGCCACTGTCACTACAAAGTTAAACTTTTTTTTTTTCGTTTTCTTTTTCTTGTTCTCTCTTTCTTTTTCTTTTTTTTTCCTCCAAAAATTGTATTTTTTCTCCTTCTTTCTTTTATCTGTCCTACAGTTAGTGTTGCTCCTGATCGCTTAATTCTATTGACCAGTCAGGAAGAGGAGCCCCCATCCCGGCAGATAGGACAGGCACGTCGAGGATGACGTGGATGTTCACAAGGATACCCAAGGAGAGCTACTTCAGCACAACATTCAGCAGGTCGGCTAGCACAGACCATCCCATCAAAACAGTCATGACAAAGGACATGCTGTCCACATGTCAAAAAAACAGCAGGACGTTCATCACAGTTCGGCATCATGCAATCCTGATAGCGTCCTTGAGCACAAAAGAGACAGCGAATATCTGGGTGATAGGGATGCGTACAACGAGGAAATGTTGGACAGCCTTCGGCACAGACTACGGCGGCTGCAATAGATTGATAATGTTGATGGCGTAGGTGATGAATTCCGCAGCCACGACGCACCGCGTCCCTGTCCCGAAAGGTATCACACGAGAGTCGATCAATAATCCAGAATAAAGTATGATTCGGTAATGCACACAAAAATTCATTTATGTTGAAAATAGCCTGAATCATTGTCCCACCATCCCACAGTTCCCACTGGGCAGCTGCACGAATGAGTGCCATATAATGCCCGGGTCTGTGCAAAATACAGGCAGAAATACGAGGATGGTCACTAATGAAACGGTATTCACCAATTCGCTGTAGCGAATGCAGATCCCAGGGCTCGATCCCTAGTTCCCCGTCTTACCTGTGTACAGTATTGATGCCAACCCGTAGATTTGAGCCTGCGACCTGTAGGAATGCCAGTGGTAGGTAGATTGTCGTAGGTCACAGGGTAGAAGGGAATCGAACTGTAGACCTGTAGCGTAGGAGTCTAGACAGTTCCAAAGTCGTAGCTGTAGGATGTCTGAAGGGTCAAGGTCGTAGCTGCTACTTACCTGAAGGGGCAAAGTCATAGCTGCTACAGTACCGAAAGGCCAAGTCAGAGGGTTCTAGAAGTGGCCTTTCGGAGTAGACCTGCGTTGAGCAGAGGCAAGTGGTCAAGTGGTGGTAGGCCACCTCGCTGAGTCAACAGTCCCAGTTAAGCAGTCCGGTCCTGTCCAGCAAGTACCGTCTGGGACTGTGTGCACCAAGGGCCAAGGGACACAGGGCAGATCAACGCAGCGCAGAAGTATAAATCAAGAGGCTGCGTCCAGCCATTCATTCATTCCTGCGRATCCCATGCGGAAGCGCTGCCTCAGCAGCTTGTGCAAGGAGGTCTGCAGTGTGCCCGAAGACGAAGTGGGCAGAGAAGCGTAGTGTAGCGATAGGGTAGTGGCAGCTAGCGCTGCCATAGCTGTAGCATAGGGTATGTGTGTGTTGTGTATGGATACTGAGTGTTGCATGTGGGACATCCAGGGTGATCCAGGGTGCGAACAGTGAGTTGTGTGGGCGCACAGTCGCCATAGCCAGTTGGAAGAGAACTCTTATCTGGTCACGATATCTTTGAGTACTGTGTGGGCGCATGTCGCCAGTTTGCTGTATCGCTGTTTGCATGCATGACGAAGTGTGAATAAGTCGAGTCTGATTGCACTGGTATCGGAGCAGGTACCCGCTGTTCCACGCGCGCGATGTGCGCAGGGCCGATGTGCCGTACCTGAAGTGACCGCCGGAGGAGGCAGTCCGCCATAGCGGACCTCGAGGTGGAAGAAGACGCCGCGCACCTGCAACAAGAAAACCACGACGAAGAGAGAGAGAGAGAGAGAGAGAGAGAGAGAGAGAGAGAGAGAGAGAGAGAGAGAGAGAGAGAGATGAGAGATACAAGATTGGGTCCTTACCTGCTGCGCTGAAGATCCGG